TAAATCACTTAATCATGATAAGTTAAATTAATTTAGTGTAAACACATGATGCGATTAACAGCTTGTTTTGATGGTCGTTACCTATCGTATCAGTGGAAAGTTAAAAAATTAGAAGAGATTATGGTCAGTTAATTGAACTAGTGACCTCACAAAGATTTTAAACCCCCTTAACCACTAAGCTACATTTTGGGCTGTGTCAAAGGGATTCAAAACATAATATATGGAGACAAAAAACAGATTTTGCCTTATATACACTATATAATTTTTCGGCGAAAGGGGTTCGGGTGAACCCCCTTTCGCCCCCTAAATCCCCCCATGTATCCTGTTGTATCGTATTGTTACTTTAAATACAATGTTTGTTTTGATTGTTACTTAAATTTCATTGTATCGTATTGTTAAATCCATCGTTATGTAACGACGAAAAGCGCTACTTTATGGAACGATGTATTTGGTGTGATGACGTCGTTTTCTTGGTTTTTTCCTCTCATATTGCACTTCCTTATTATCAAATAACCACATTTTATTCTTTATCCTACTTTTTTATATATTAATTCTATTCCCTATCCTATATATTCCGAGTAATGTTGCAAGTTTATTCTTCATATTATTGGTGGGTGACATCATGAAACGACGACAAACGATACAATCTATCCAAATATTGTAGTCATCAAATAATACATAAGTATTTAACGTATGATTTCCTTCGGTCATGTTCTTTTAATTGCTTATTCGCAATGACAATGAAACCTCTAAAAAGTACAAGAGAAAATAAGCAAAGTATACCTTTCTTACTTTTTTTTTTTTTTGGTTCTTTTATCTTAGGAAGATATTGATATGAACTTTTTAGGAAAAAATATTTTGGATACCGTACCATGAACTAAAACACTTTGATTTCAAGAGGTTACACTAGCTTGGTAAAAGGAGTGCTAGTGACTTATCGAGCCTTTTATATGAAAACAATGTTTATCTAAATTTTTTGAAAATAAGTTATTTGATGATACATTTTTGTTTTATTTTAAAAAGTCCAACATATAGGGTCAAACTGAAAATTCAAAATAATCAAACTAATTTAGAGACTCAACTCTTAAAAGCCGATTGAAAGTTTGAAACTGAGAATTCCTGAACAACTAGTGTACGTAAGTAGTAAGTACTAAACAACTAGACTCTTTCTGCACTTATTACCATCAAGTGGCTGTAGTTTAGTGGTGAGAATTCCACGTTGTGGCCGTGGAGACCTGGGCTCGAATCCCAGCAGCCACATCTAATTTTTTATTTTTCAAATTACCACCATCCCAAACGGTGCCGTATAACCAACACCCACCCACGTCAACGGTAGGTTAAATAGATCCAACGTCTCCCAAAAGAAAAGAGAAGAAAATCGAGATCGTAGCTGTGAGGCTTCTTCGAATTTTACACCAATTCTCCATTTCGTCTTAGTATCACTGTAAGTTCTTTTTTCTTTTTTCATAGCAAATCAAATAATTTCATTATCTCTCGATCTATACTGCATTTTCCTTATGCTTGAATCCTTCTGTTTTCCCCTCAAAATTCACCCAATTTAAATTTTGTTTACTTATTTATTGAGCATATTCTGAGATGCTATTTTTTGTTGAATTTTGTATTCCTTAGATGATTTTTCGTAGTGTTTTGCAATGAATGTTTGATCTTTTGTTTCATGCTGTTTGGATTGTTATTCCCGAATAAATTAATTTGTGGCGTCTCTCTTAATTCCATAAGGAACGATATATAAATATCAAATGTGTGTGCGGAAAAAGAGAATTGTTAAAAGGAAGTTTTCTTAATAACTAAATGAATTAAGTAGAAGAAAAAGAACATAAATTGGAAGGGTAGAATCAGTAGACTTGGAGTTGTAGAAGAACTGGATTGTGAATCGAGGATTCTGAAGGGTATGAAGATAATGGCAAAATATGTATGATACTATAAGTTTCAATTTTGTAGCTCTTTAAGAGCTGCTATGATGAGCAAGATGTAGACTTTGTTTCATATGACGTAAAAGAAAGAAAATATTGGGTGGAAAATGCTAACAAGGGAAGATAGATCTTCTTCTGGTGTTTGTTTGATATGAAGTTTGGTGGCGTATGATTAGAATGTAGAGTTGGAAATTGGGTATATTGTGGGGTTCGATGAGTTTCAACGAGTGAAAATGGTGTCTAAATGTTGGTGAAGCGAGTGATTTAGTATGAGTGGAGAAATCTATAGAGATACGTTGTGAAGAGCATGAAGCTGGAAAAGCGACAACCCCCATTTCGCTTAAAGCGAGAAGTAAGAAGCGAAGCGCTCGCTTTTTTGAAGTGAAGCGGAATTTAAAAAAAAAAATTAAAATAAATACTGCATAGACAATTCTGAGAAAAACTGGGCAGAGAAAGAAGAACCCAAGGATTGGCATCAATTCTGAGAAAGAACCGAAGGTAAAAAAAAAAAAAATTCGCCAGCATTTCGCTGCTATTTGGACATTGAAACAGTGGAAGAAGAAGAACTAATGCTCTCAGATGCTCTGCTTTAAAACCCTAGTCGCTGTTGTTCGTTTAATAAAAGACAGAACAATTTCGTTTTTTATTAAATAGCCTGGGTCTCGCATCGCTTGGTCGCTTCTCGCTTTTTAGTGGGAAGCGGTCGCTTTTTTATACCTTAGTCGCTTCACCCATGTGAAGCGGGCACTGAGTCGCTTCGCATCGCTTCTCGCTTAAAGCGAGGAAGCGAGCGCTTTTTTAATCACTGTGGCTTTATTCCCCTTAAAGATGGAAGCCTTTCTCATTTTGGGTTGATTACTTGGCAATTCTACTCATCAAAAAAATTTAAGCTATTGAAGATAGCTAAAGCAGTTTTTCCAAGAATATTTCCTGATAATACCAGATCGATACTTGGTGATGTGAAAAAGGTCTTTGAATTTTACTGGCAGTTTTAGCTCAACTTGGATTATAAAACTCGATTTGCTGGTATTTAGCATGTAGCACACTTTCTTAGCATGTGCAATCCCTCATGAGTCCATGGGGATAGAGACTTTTGGCTCAAGATGGGTTTTCAATTTTCTGGATTTCAGAGGACATGGGCTAAAATCAAATGGTATCAAAACAGGTGAATAGTATTCAATCTTATGAGTTAGAAATCCATAGGATTAAATCCCTCCATCCAAATAGGTCCTGAAGTATTCCAAACCCATTGTGTTTTGTATTAATAAATGAAGGTATAAGAATAGAGACCAAGACACCAAGTAGAAGAAAAGAAAAGAAAGAAGAGGAAGAGGAAAAGGGAAGTATTAAGTAGAGTGCTTGTTTTAGGATTGATTGGAAATAGAAGAAAGGGAAGTGTGATGTGACACTAAACACCTTAATGTAGTTTGTTCATGAGCCTAAAGTTTTTTTTGACTTTACAAACAGTTTCATTGAAGGATGTTTCAGACTTTATTTGAAGGAAAGGGAAGGAAAAGAAAGAAGAGGGGAAGAGGGGACTAAGTGTAACCATTTGCTGTTGGATTGACTTTTAGGAACAGAAAACGAAAGGCATGGTTTTCTGTATGTCTCCAGATAGGGCCCCACTAGTCCGGCTAGCTAGTGAGCGGTTCTTTCGGGCGGGAAGCAGGCCGGGCCCTACGGGCGGGCATCTCGCGCAACGCAAGCACCATTGTTCGACACCACCCGAGAAGCAAAAGATTCGTCAGTCCAGGCTGAAAATACATGCATAGGTAGTGGTTTAATGCCAAGGCCGACGACAGAAGCTCGGGACGGATAAGGCATGTACCTAAAAAGAAAGAGTTGGCATGTACCTAAAAAGAAAGAGTTGGCATGTGTTCGTTGATTCCAGCTTTGCTAGTCTCTGGCATTTCCCCGCATCTTGGTGCTTAGGCACTCATTGGCCACTAGATAATATGCTGTTACACTGATCATGTATATCTCTAGTCTTTTCTTATTGTTCTCCATGTAAATTGAGTGCTCAGTGTTTTTGGTTTTTCGCCCTTGTTTTCATATTGCGTTTGCAGAAATACAGGGTAAGGTTGTGTACAATAGACCCTTGTGGTCCGGCTCTTCCTCGGACCCCGCGCATAGTGGGAACTTATGCACTGTTTTTTCCCTTTTTTTTCCTTTTCTTTTCTATATTGCGTTTCTCATTTTGGCGCTTTATTCGGTTGCCTTTTGTGTCTGGTAGAGTCTGTTGAACAGCTTGCCTGACTAATAATCTGCCCATATAATGTCTTTTAGATTGTTAGAAAGCAGGTGTTATTTGGAGTGTGTGGCTGCTTAAAATTTTAAGTATGAATGCTAAAGTTGGAGGGGTTAAGTATTATAGATCAGTTAGGTGAAAATGGTAGTCAAAGTAAAAGAAACTCAGCAACAGTATGCATGATGTTGATCTTAAATAAGAAGTAAATTTAGAATGGATAGTCACTTTCTATTGACTATTATTTTCTTTGTACTAATCCTTTTCTAGAGTGTTATTGTCCACATATTGAGCAGACATGTATGGTGGTTGATTTGTCTGATATTTTGGTTCTTTTGTGCTTGAATGTTACAGATGATTGACGACCAGGACCTGGGCTTCTTTGCCAACTTTCTTGGTATATTTATCTTTGTGCTGGTGGTTGCTTACCATTATGTGATGGCAGACCCAAAATATGAAGGCAATTGAAAGTTGTTTCTTTAGAATTAGCTTGGGCAACCATAGTTATGTTCATTTACCTTTGGCATCTTTATATGTTAGATGAATGAACTTTGATGTGGCATAAACATTTTCTACCGAGCATGGAGTTGTATCTTGACTGCTTCTAGTCGAAAACTATTGATCAGTGTATGGCTTCACAGGATTATCGAATGGAGTAAAGGATTTACATATTTTCCTTTTCTACCATTGCTTTAATGTTTTAGAAGTTTTTCCTGTTAAAAAAAGCAAAAGATATTGTTGTTTCTGTAATTTGCTTGTGTCGCTTCTTTCAGGTTAGCCTTGATCGAAAAACATTTCTTACACGACGTCAAAGGTAGAGAAGATTCGGAATAACATGTTATCTTTGAATTTTAAGGGGAATTAAAATGGGAAAAGAAAAAGCAAAATAACTATAGATGATAAAATGCTAAAAGTCCTATTTTAGATCTACAGCCTTGTGCTTTTTGGTTTTGAAGGTTATATAACTTGGCTCTATAGGATTTGCTCCTAACTTAAAGAAATCTGTGGTATATTTTTATGAACAAATTGGTTCACCCAGAGGATCTTCCCATCTCACCAAATCTTTTATCCCTCTGTCTATGTCTCTTACTTCTCTCTCCAAAAAGTTCATGCAAAATTCTAAAGAACACAAAAAACCAACAATGGTTTCTCTAAGCTCTATACCTGCAATATCCCTTACTTTACCACAAACCTCCCTTGAGTGTTCAAGGAAAGAACTTAAAACCATCTCCATCTCCTCATCATTAGTAGAAGAAATGATACACTCATTTGGACATAATGAATTCCCTTCTTCAAGATCATCCGAGATATTCTGCTCTGGTTGGATTTGAGAAGCTTTTAATAGTCTGATAGAAATGGTTTTCTCAAAGCAGCTCACTGCAGAGCTTAGGGCATTCTTAAGATGCTGTAAGTCCTTGTTTATGTATTCTTGAAGCTCTTTTCTATCAGGATAATAGCTATCGAATGCTTGTGAGAGGAATTCGATATCATAGGCCATGAAAAACAGAACATCTGCCATAGTTGACAAGGATTTTTGGAGCTTCTGGTAGCAAGAAATTGGAAAAGGTGAAAACCAGAAACTAGGTTCCAACACTGCATCTTTAATGAACTTTTCCAAATCTTGGACTTGAGATCTCAGTTTCCTTTGCTTCTCCATTAACCCCTTTTGCCTTGAATCAACTATCATGTGTTCAGTGCAATCTTTGAGTTTTCCTTGGATCAGATAGAGATGCTTTTTAACTAAAGTAGCTGAACTTGTTGGTTGCATAATAAGCTCAACAACAACGAAACAAGCTAGTCCAATGAAGGCTTCAGTGAGTCTATAAATGGCGAATTCACTAGGTGGACCATAACTCTTTCTGCCCAAAATCAGTAGTGAACCTATTACTGCTGCTGTTCCCCCTGCTTGAGTGAACATCCTACTATGCCTCAGAAATGTGGTGAAAATAATCCAAGGGAGGAGGGACAAGAACCTTATATGCGCGGCTTTTTGAAAAATAGTGCAGCCAAGTACACCATATACTGATCCTATGGCTGTTCCTTGTGCTCTAGCATTTGCTTCTGTGAAAATTGCTTGTTTTCCTGTAACAAAGCTGAGTGCTATTGTTAGTCCTGACCAATATCCATTTTCTGTATTAAATAGCAGACCTAGTAGCACGGCCAGCCCTAGTGAAAATGAACACTTAAACGCGAATATCACCATCCTTTCATTGACCATTGGCACAGTCCAATTGATGCAGACTCGTTTGCAGCATGATCTGTTATTACTTCCTACTGAATCTATTGATCTTTCATCAGTAATAGGCGTGATCGTGTCAGAACCATTCGTGCACATTTTTAAACAAGATAAGAAGAAAAGTGCTGGTTGATCTAGTTTTGTTGGTAAAATTGGTTCATGGGGTAGCCTAGAAGACCTTTTCTCAAACTCCCCTTCTGTCACTGAATGATGTGGTGAAATGGATCTATCTTGCCCCATTTTATCACCAAGAAACATCAGAACATTATGTGAGAATTTAAAGAGCTCTTCATCTATCATTCTGGTGAGAAAAGAAGGGCAAGAAGTTAAGGCCATTTCCATTCCTTTCATTGAAACTTCCATGTTTTGCAGACCATGTCCTGGATCTGTGAAGTTGGGAATCAAGAATCTCAGCCAAGGTTTCTCCCATTGCAAACCTTCCTGCTCAAAATAGAAGGATCATTTAGATTACAGGACGGGTTACACTGAATTGTATCCGCCGTAACAGTAAAGTCACAAAACCTAACTGAACTTTACCCATTATAACAGTAAACTGACAAAAATTTACCTACTATAACAATAAAGTCACTTTTGCTGGGTAGGTTTGTCGTTACGGTGACGACTTTCTGTTATAATTGGTAAAATTCAGTTACTTTAATGTGACAAAAAATATTTTTTCGATTTTATTATTATAGTAGGTAAAGTTTAGTAATTTTATGTTATAGTGGGTAAGCTTCAGTGGCAAAAATAATTCTATGACTTTACTGTTACGGTGAATACAATTCAGTGATCATACGTGAAATTAACCCAAACAAGAACTGATGAATTCATAGATTGAGAAGTTTTTTAGGGATCTCATGAGCTTACCTCCAAGAATTTGATAGTCTCAAGAAGCTTAGTTCCTGTATCAGCAGAGGGCTTTGCCTGAGATATTAGTTCCATGGCTATCTGATCATCTTGAGTATGGATTGCTTTCAAATATAAGTTTATTCTCTTTAAAGCATTTTCTGCATAAATTTTGTATAAGTTTCTCACCTGTTGGCAATGTTATTCACAATATTAGCAATTACCACCTTGTATCATATTTTTAATCTAAATATGCAGTAGTAAATTAGCCTATGATCTTAAAAAACTACATAGTTGTTTAATTACCAAACAATAAGTTGAAAAGGGAATTAATTTCTCTCATCCATTCTCAGTAGGGGAAGGGGAGCCTTGGCGTAACAGGTAAAGTTGCTGCCATGTGACTAGGAGGTCACGAGTTCGAGCCATGGAAATAACCTCTTGCAGAAATGCAGGGTAAGACGGCGTACAATATACCCTTGTAGTTCGGCTCTTCCCCGGACTCCAAGCATAGCGAAAGCTTAATGCACCGGACTATCCATTCTCAGTAGGCAGTGGATGCACAACTTGAGATAGACTTAACATCATTTTCTTTGAACTTGTGATTTACTTGGACAGAAACATTCTAACACGAAGTATGGTCTAAGACTTTGGTCCTACAGTATTTATTTTGCGATCTCAAGGAGCCGTATGAGGTGAAAATCTAACACGTTGTTCCATAATAGTAACAGGACAGGATGATGTTATAAATTCTATTATCAAAACATTGAATGAAGTAGGCAACAACTATATGTTACTGACCCTACATATTTACTCCTAAATGGTTAGAAAAGTATTTCTAATGTGGAAATTTAATTCCCCTTACGTTTACAATTTTGCTCAAACAGACTGGAAACATCTGTGATGTTTATGGACCATAGAAGAAACCATACCAAGCACATAATCAATCAATTTGCCATAGGAATAAGGGCACTTCTATCTACCACAAACTAATGCAGTATGCATATATATGTCAAGTTTAACATCAAGAATTTTACTATTAGGCGTTTAGACATAAGAATTGTAAAGTTTCGGAAAAAAGTGAAAAAAAATTCAAGTGAAAATAGTATTTCAAAGTTAGAGTTGTGTTTGGACATGAATATAATTTTGGGTTGTTTTGAATTTTTTTGAGTGATTCGAAGTGAATTTATAGAAAAACAACCTTTTGGAATTTTTTAAATTTTCGAAAAATTCCAAAATTTGTTTTATAGTGAAAATTGAAAAATTTATGGACAAACACCGATTTCGAAAAAAAGTAAATTCTTTTTCTGAAAAGAAGTGAAAATTTTTGTATGGCCAAACGGCGATTGAAACGGAAAAGTAGGTCAACAATTGTGTTTGGACATAGGTTTCACTTGGAGAAAGAATTAGTAGAAGTTTTGTGAGTGAAACTGAAACGGCCATCATTTCACTCCAAATACTCCTCAAAGCAAGTTTTTTCAACTTCAAGTTCCTCATATCAAATTGAAATTAAAATAATTCATAAAATTATAAAACAAATATTGATTTGCAAATAATGTATGTCCATACGCCGAATGGACGTTTCCTAGAAGATCCAAATTACACCGAAACATCGATCATCTTTCCTTTTCAACTTGAGGATTTTCTAAAGAGAAACATATTACTAATACTAGACAAACTAAACCATTCAGCAAATTAAAAAATATACTACCTAAATGACGATTTTACGGTTAAAACAAGTGATAATTTGCTTGACTTTTCAACATGAGCTGTAAACCTCGGTTACATCGAAAGTATAAAAATAATTTGAATGGTCAATATGGTACATATTAAAAGGAGTATAATTTAATATGCGCTAATGGTATGAAAAGTTTTACGAAATCAAGTAACTTAAAAGATAATTGTACGCAACTTTACTTAATATTACTCACTATATGTTAATTAGTAATCTAAAATAAATAATTAACAGGTTACATTATACTAATGGTGTGAAAAATTCGCTACTCTATCGATATATATATAACTTAAATCCTATATGAATATCAGTTTCTGTCAAAAATCCTTGTTTAAAGATCTTCATTTTTGAATCAACCAAAATGGTCGTCGTGCAAAATCAGATTTAGCAGTTTAAAAGGGTATGTTAAAAGATAAGGGAAAATTTCACATAAGAACAACTGGGCTCCCTACTTTTCAATTTTATAGCCCATATTTCTATTTACAACCAACTAGTCAAAAAATAATAGGCTAATACACAACATTCAACTCCAATAGATTCTCGAAACTACTATTTAATTTTTAAAAAATATTGCTCAAGCTTTTAAGTTAATTTTTGAATAAGTAACTGTGACCCAAATATTAGTTCAACAAATCAGTTCCATTTGGGTGGTGAATATTAGATTTTTAACAAGCTTAAATATGTGGGTTTAAATTTCGAATTTGATTTTGTGAGAACTTTAGAGTGGGTATTATTTAGACTTGTTAGAAATAGTATAAGGAGGTTGTATATAAAATTTGAAGTCATTTAATGGAGATTTGGACTGGTTTTGAACAAGAATTGTAACTGAAAATCGTGGAAGAAGTTCGTCTACAGACGCTTGTATAAAGGTGTATAAAAGTGTATAATAGTGTATAAGATGTGTTTATACACTCATATACACTATTATACAAGATTATACATAATTATACAAAAAACTGACTTCGTCTTCAACCTTGCGTTTTTTCAGAAATTTAACTCAAATCTTGCTCAAATCTACTCCAAATCACTTCAAATTTAAATTTTGAACTCCTTTTGATATTTTCAATCAATTGGAACAATACCCAATTCAAACAACTAACAAACTCAAAAAATCATATTTTCGAAAGCAAAGCTTTGAATGGCCTTCAATGGTAGACTTCTACTCTTCAATTTTCTGACATTGCAAACAGGGGGAGAATCAGAAAATACACGGCCCCTTGAAGCATATGTAGAAGATGTGAGAAGAAGAGAGAGTGAAAGCAATGGTTGTGATATGTAGAAGATGTGAGAAGAAGAGAGAGTGAAAGCAATGGTTGTGAGAACACATATTTAACTCCATAGCTTTTAGAAGCAATGGTTGTAAGAACACAGATTTTTAATTTGCTAATGCTTTCAAAATATGTACAATATAGGCTAGGTAGGGTAAAACTTAAAAACATAGACCATTTTTTGTTATGGTGTGAAGTCATGTGTATTTTCTTGTAATTCTTTCAAAAGATAACTACAAATAATCGTTCATACTTCATAGAAGAGAGAGATGTAATTTTTTTGATACTTGAATGAAGTTTGATGCTTACCTCATGATAAGCTAGCCAAGGATAGGGCAACAACAGAGCTAAGATAGAAGCCACAGCTCCAAGGGCAGTGCTAGAACCAATTCTAAGAGGGTGCAATACAGCAGAATTGACATAAACTCCATGAATAACAACATCAACATACACTATAACAAGCTGTCCAAAAGCAATTCTCTTACACATCAAGTCCGTACTCTCCGGCAACGCCACCAAAAATGCGCTCACCGCCACCATTAAAGCGGCTACTTCCGGCGAGAAGTTGTCGGTAGTGACATAGCCATGTAGCCATAAGCCTAGCATGGAAAGAGGCATGACTTGAATTGTGGCAAGACATGCATGCCAACATCCCCTTAAGGCATGGCCTAAAGTGGCATCGGATACTATGAAAACAGATGTAACGTAAGAAAATGAAGGAAATGCTAGTTGCTTCGCAAGAGAAGGTGGACTATATAGGGTGACACACCCCACTATGGTGCACGCTAAGGCGGTCCGGATCGCGGAGTGTAGCCTCATCCACCACATGGCACGTGCTCGTTTAGCCACCATGATAGTTGCCATGATAGTATAACAAGACGACTACTTTCTGCACGCCACTAAATGGCTAATTAGAAGATTCCACCTATCAATCCACAAAGATGATTACTTTCTTCGCGCCACTAAACAACTATATGGACATTCATCTGCTACCAACTAGACGACTATTCTTTGCACGTCACAAAATATGGCTATATGGACATGCACGATAAGTTTACACGATGGTTTAGGAAGTTATTTTGTGAAATAACAAGAGGAAAAGAGGATGGATTTATGTAATTAGCAGGCTCATTAGTTTATTGAATTTTAGGTTAGTGAACAAAGTAGAAGTGGTCCTCTAGGCTTGAGCAGGAGAAGTATTTATAGAAGCTAAACTGTCACACTCGTACATCTAGATATCCAACTTTTTAGCTCAGTTGAAGAGTAAAATATTGCTCATGGAATAAAGGGGAATAAATTAGTTCTAGCTAATTCTAAAAGAGTATCGGATGTTTAATTAACAACCTTGAGATGTAAGCATATGTTCCTGATCTTAAGGGAAATATTCATTTTAATTATCTCAAATACTTAGGGTGTCTTTAATGGAAGGACAAAGAGTATAAAAAAACAGTGAAGTTAAACTTTTAGTGTATTCCTTTTTCTTAATTGGTTAGTTAGTGGGAGAGTATTGCCATTGTTCTCTCTTTCTTTTTTAATGTTTGAACCAACTTGCACGCATTGTCGAGTGTTGTACTCTTGATCAGTGTTTACTATATTCCGGCAATACATGCATCGAAAGTCTATCAAGAAGACCAACTTGCACGAACCTTAAATTTTCATTATGTACGTACGCTACTTCCAGCAGTACATGTACTGGATAACTCTGGCGATCAAGACTTAGTTAGATGAAAAAAAAACACCTAATTATTTTCGTCTCTACCCGGTTTTTTACTTATTTTATTGATTACTAAACCACATCTTTGAATTCGTCCAGTAATTTATCATTATTCCTTGTTTTGTAGATTTTCAAATTCCCGAAAAATGATTAAAATTTTTGATGTTGATTTATATATAACAATAATATATGTCATTAATCAGTAATAAGTATGTAGACCCTCATCAAAAATTGCGAGGCTCTGATGCCTACCCGTTTAGTGAGGGAACCTCTACACTTGTAAGCCTCTCACCTTTTCATCAAATGATACAAGTCTTGGATAAGAATCTACAACGCACTAGAACGCCCTTGTTGACGATCCTTTACTCCGACAGCATCTAGGGTTCCTCGAACAATGTGATATCTCACACCGGGTAAATCCTTAACCCTTCCCCCTCTTACTTGGCCGGTGAAGTTGAAGTACTAGAAAATTGTTCGATCACCTCGTTCAGGTTGCAACATACTATTAATTAGACACTCTTATTTAGATTTAGATCTGCAATTAATGTATATAAGTACTAATCCATATTATTTTACTAGATGCTTCAAAAACTTAAAAGAAAAACTCTCCTAATTAACTCCAGGTATCTTTGATATCGTTTAATTATCTTAAACCTTTTGATTTGACACTCAAACCCGTTGATGTACTGAGTATGTAACCTGGAACGTTTAGTCTTGATATAACCTTGTTTACCCTTAAAAATGATAACAATTGAATTTATATGCGGTTTTAAGGATATATGGACGATACAAGTGATTAATGACGTATGATAAGCAAATAAAGAACAGAAGAAACTACCAAACTTGGTGATGATAGTGAGCCCGGGCTCGGTTGAAGGCTTAAAAAGAAGCTCGCCTTCGGTTCCGAACCAATGCTTATGAAGAACTTATGAACCAAAACAATAAATTTTAGAAACAGCGAAAAATAGATGTATATTCCCTTGGTACGTGTGTTACAATGTCCCTATTGAATAATCAGCTTCCCCTTTATAAAATAGGGGAGTTTTACCCTAAGTACAATTCTAAGAAAGGTAAAAATCTTCCTTTTTGCTAATCACTGATCTGCCGCCGGTACGGGCCGAGATTCACGTCGTGTTGGACGCAGACATCACGACCTTTTGTTAATCGTGCGCGGTCGTTTGGTAATGTTCTCCGAGGTCTTAGAACTCGAACTGGACCAGGGAGGCGTGTTCTCGATGGCTCCGAGGGCAGGTGTTTTGCTCGGACGTTGATACGAGAGGTTCCTGGCTACGATTCCGCTTCCTTGCAGTCATGTCCTTGCTTCGTTTGCCTCGCCAGAAAATCAAGATGCTCATTAGCCCCGGTTTTACCCGTATACAGATAGTCCCCTCGTTTCTCAGAGAGTAGGTTTGCCGAAACGATAGGAAATGAAGGTTTGCCGAAACGATGGGAAATGATAGATGTTCTCTGGTTCCTTCCTCCATACATTACGACGAAGAAGTCGAAACGTCCCATCTGTCGCGTCGTTCTGACTTCAGACACGTGTCGATCATTAGCTGATTGCCTCTGAATGCGAAGCGTCGCCTACTTCCCTATAAAAGCTTCCATCCCTCGTTCCTTTCCTACTTTTCGAACAAGCTTCAACCTCCGAATTCCTTAGCTATTTATCAACCTTCTTTCAAACCTTCATATCGTCATCCTTGATCTTCAGTTTCTCATAGTTTTTCTTAGGTTTTATCCAGATTTCCTTCAAATCTTCATACTCTATTCTTCATTCTTCAAACTCGTTCTTTCAAACCTTTGTATTCTTTCTTTAAATTTTCAAACTTCTCCAGGTAACAATGGCCAAAACATCTAAATCTGTTCCTCAACAAGTTGCCTCTTCATCTTCCCAACCAACCGCCGATACTGAGGTGGCTGCTCCCGAAGTAGTTTCCCTCGAAACGGATGCTCCCGAGGTGGCTGCTGGTGAACCAGCCCCCGAGCCTTCCTTGAAAATGTTTATTTCCGGGGGCTGCTCAATTGCAGACGACTTTAAGGTCGAGAAGCCCTCACGCAAACAGGATGGAATTGAAGGAGCATCAAGGTACATATGCTCCATGACCGAAGACGTCCTTCCTGTGGTCCAAAAGGTCTGTAATTAGGAAGGTAAGGACGTAGTAGTCCCCGATCCCGAGGACGCCATTACTACCCACGTGGAGGGGTGTTTAAGTGTTTACACTTACCCATTCATACTTGGCTCGATGGACTCGGTTATTTTGGATTTTTGCAAGAGGTACGAGGTATGCCTCGGGAAAATGCACCCGTCTCTATGGAGGATCGTGATCCTCCTTCGTTACTTCGTGAATAAGATCGAGTCTCGTCGGTTCACCATCGATCATCTACTCGATTTATACATTCCCCAAATTTTCTGAGGGGGACTAATCAAGCTTGCTCGTCGGGCCATCAAGGCCTCTTTTTCCAACATTGATAAAGACTGAGACCGGGGCTGGCAGGGATCGCTTTGTTCGGGTAAAGATCAAAGACTTGATCCCTCCCGAGTTCATGCCATACCCCTAGAAGTGGAATGCATCTCGTAAGTGTAGTCGCTCCTTGAGCGTCAAATTTTTCTTCATTTTCTTTCTTCTCATTCATACTTGTGGTTGCGCAGCTGTTGTCCGGGTTCCAAATATGGTCCACCGGCTAAAGGAGTGGATCGAGGGCATCTGCACACATATGACGTACTCCGAGCGCGCATGGCGCAAGCTTTCGAAGGGCCGATGGGAGGCCCATTCTCATGGTAAAGGTCTTTCTCTGAATAGTTAATACCATGCTTTTAACTTTCATTATACTAACTTTCCTCCCCCCCCCCTTTTGTAGGTTTGCTTAAGACCACCGAACTTAGGCCTTTAGATGGGGATAATAACGTGTCCTTGTCCATTGATCCCTTCGTTACGGGACAGCCCAGGGCTGCCGTGGGGGAACAGAAGAAAAAGAAAAGAAAGGCTTCAGGCTCCTCGATTCCCCAGGTGAAGCCAAAGAAAATAGTAGCTCGTAAGCCCAAGAAGAGCTCTAGTTCTGGGGTGCTGGATTCCGATTCGCTTTTTCAGCTCAGGGACGAGGAAGAAGACGACATTTTTATTGCCCATGGATCGACCCCTCTTGGGGAGCAGGCGGCAGCCGAGGGGGAGATTTGTGAGGCCGACCTCCCTTAGACTCGAGAGATTGATGTGGAGACGGGGGCTGAGACCCCCCAGGACACCGACTCTACTCCGAAGAAAGCGCCCGGTGTAATAAAAATTATGGGGACGCCCTCCTACACCGAGTCCATGCTCGAGAAGGCCCAAGCAGGAAAGGAGAAGTCCAATAAAGGGGTCCATGGCGCGGACGATCCCCTTCATTCCTTTTTTGATGGTGTGGACTCGTTCGCTTTGGAAGATTTTTCCGGGCTTAGCGACCTGGAAGTTTCGAAGAAGGAAACATCCTCGGAAGCTGGCGGGCCGAGTTCGAGCCTGAAATTGATCAATCAGTTCCCTGCTCCGAGTGTGGACCCCGGTCGTAAGAGATCGGTTATACTTACCGTCCCGGAGGATGCCCGAGTTCTGTCTTCTCCCGTGGGGATAGCCAGCTACCTCCGATGCTTGGTGACCGAGGAAGACCAGGCAAAAATGAACGAGGTGAATGTGTCTTGCCTTTTCAATGAGGCGCAACAGGCGCTGAACCGGGTAAGGCATCATTATGCCTTTTTTGAATTTTACTTAGGTTTTGATGTCTCTCACGTCTTTCATTATTTTGCAAGCCTTGGTACTTCACCATGAGAGCTTCCTCGGGTACCGGTTCGAGGTCAATTAGCTCAAGCTCGAGGTCAAGGCGCAAGCACAAAAAAGGGACATGTACAAGCTTCTCAGCGAGCAACAAGATGGGGCCATCAAGGACCTCCAAGCTGAGTTGGATAGAGCTCAGAAGGAAGCTTCGTCCCTGAGGCGGGAGCATGCCGACCTGGTCGAAAAGGTAAAGTTTTTGAAGTTAAGAACGAGGAATTAGTCATGGCGACTAACGATCAAACTTTGCAGGTCCAGCAGAAGATCAACCCGATCGACCAACTCTGAGTTTAAATGAACGAGGTCCAAGCCATGGACGATGGTTGGAAAACAAAATGGACCGGCTGGCTTCAATGAAGGAAACCACCCGGGCAAATTTGGAATCGATAGAGGTTCAACGTCGGGTAGCGAAGGAGAAAGCCAACAAACGATCCCAACTGAATGACGATCTCCGAGAACAACTAAGCTGGGATCCAACAGAATGGGATGCCCTTGGTAAGGAATACGAGGCAATAATTTCCAAGTTGGACACAACTTTCGCCGATGCCGAAGAGATGGTGGCCCAGTATATGGCTGATGTTGAAGCAGCCGAGGCCTGCTTGAAGACTAATGCTGAATATATGAGGCGGTTGTCT